ACTATTTCATTTAATAAATGTTTTGTTTTGATATATAAGTTGTTCGAGTTTTTTATCTAAAAAGCAACATTAATTTCTTGACCACCTAATAGTACATACATCATACTTCACAATACCTTCTGATGCCTCAGAAAGCAAAGAATGCCATGTCCTTTTAGTCTGTAATATTTCAACTGCATTACTATCCTAGTGTTGATCAAGTGGTCATTGCAAAGTGCCATCCATACACTTTGTCAGAATAACACTTTCTAGCTCAGAGAGTAAGGGCCTCAAAATCTTTTCAGTCATTATTTCTTGAGCAAGTGATCATCCTAACTGGCTTGTTATCTTAACCACATGATCATGAGGTCATCCTCATTGTCTTGGGTGATCATTGCAACTATGACACTGTCTTCCTCACTGACTACTTGATCAAATCCAGCTTAGGGCTATGCAGATTCAGCATCAGACATAGCACTGTTTTCCAAAACTCTGCTACTTCTAGACAATAACCTGTCTGGAATATTTCAGGGCATGGCCCAACCATTTACTAGCTTCTCTCTCACACAGTGGAGAGAGGTCTGCCTCACTCCCACTAGGGCTTGTGTGATTTCAACATGGGTCTCACCCAAGACTGGAGAGCCCCATATGAGGGGGCAGCTATTGGGTAGGTGGGTTCCAGAATCCATATTATTTGCTAAGGATCGACTTTAACTTCTAGAGCTGCAAGGTAACATGATGATGGACACACCTTGCCTACCTGCACTGCAAACTACCAGGTTTCTCCATGTTTTGTAACAATTTTGGTAGCTTTCCTCTCATCCAGGGAAGGGTCTCTATTGTCCTATATATTAGAGTCATTGATGAGAACTCACCATCCCACATGCTAGCAGGCCAGCTTTACCAAGCCAGTGGCACCACATCTCTGATTCCTGACCTACTTTTTATAGAGGAGTTCCTTGTCACACCACCAATCATCATGGCATCCTCAAACAATGCGTGATATCTCATAGTGTGAATGAAGCTCACCTATCAATGGCACACCTTATCATACTCCCTTGGATGATATATCACCCCAAAAATCTTCAGTTGTTTGGACTCCAACAAAGCCCAGGCTTAAGTTCAGGGGAAACTACATCAGGATTTCTAGGTTCTTCAGATGCCCTTATTCTCTGTTCTGAGCTCACAAAAGCAAGGTGATGGCTGTCAAAAACGTTTGTAGCATTGACAAAAGATCTAGAGAGGACTTCTGCAGGATCCAGCCATCCTGGATCAACTCCCGACTTTTGTCCTGCAAAGCAGTCCACACCCATCTCCAGCTTTACCTTGCAAATAACATTGCAAAAAATGATTTATGGCAGAAGAAGACCATTACATAAACCACTGGATCAATTTGCCAAAACATGTGGCATAAAGTAAGTATGTATTGGAATAATAAGGTCTGAAAAAAGGTAATGTTGTCCAGTGAATCATGCCCTATTGTTAGATATACACGACTGTTTCAGTTTCTGTTTAATGTGAGCATTACGAGTTAGATAGTTTATATAATGCAGATGCAGATGTCATATTTAGAAGTGATATGTTATGGTAAGTTTGTGTACACAACTTTACGAATCATTCATTCTGTAGTTCAATTTCTTTGAATTGTTTACAACTGTGAGATTACAGAGTCATCTTGCTAAAACGTTTTGAGTCACTCGTAGGTTGAATTGAATGTTACTGCATGATAATATCTAGTATTGTTTGGAATGTCCAAGACTTCTGTCAGAGTATAAATACATGTTGAAAAATCATTATTGAGATCTAGTTCTTGACTGCGTTATCGTGAGTTTAGCGATAAAGAGTGTGTAGTGGCGAATTTTAAAGTTAAACTATAATCGCAGATTATATCGTAATAACAGCGTAGAGAAGAATAATTCGTCTTGTCAACTGTATTCTAAAATAACTGAACCAACCTGTGTGGACTTTGACGAAAAAAAGAGACAATTATTTAAAGCTTTGGATACAACTGTGGTAACTAACAGTTTAACGAACATCTATATATACACTTGATTTGTTTTTAATATATCATTTTTAAAACAAGTGGGCTGTGTTGCTGTTTATATATAGTTAAAACTTATCATCAACCAATTACAAACACCTACAATAAAGAATATGGCCTTACAAAATCTGACAGTAGTGAGCCAGCTAGGATCTACAGTGGTAAACAGTAGTAGAAGAAGACATAAACAACAGTAGCAAAGAGGCCTATTTACATACAGCTGCAGTGGTGGCAAAAATATTGTAGAGGGCACAAATACACTACATAACTATGTTGATCGACTTTGATAAGTGAATAGAGAAGGTCAAGCAACTTGGGCTCAAATATGGCAATCTACGAGAGTTAGTTAAACAACAATAAGGCCCATAGAGAGAAGAACATCAACAGAAGAGAGGGGAGGAGAGGCAGAAAAGAGAAGAAGAAAAAGAGAGATTGAAAAAAGAATGTGAGTGTGAAACACAAACCTAAAAACAGAAAGAAGAAAACGAGAGAGAGGAGAGACTGGAAATAAAGAGAATAAGAGCACAAACTGAGATCGCCAAGCTCACTAAAACAGAAAGATGGAGAATCCAAGAATGACAATGGTGTCAGATCCAACTGCCCAAATTTGATGAACAGAAAGACGACATGGAAACTTTCTTGGAGATGTTTGAAAAATTTGCCCAATGTCAGAACTGGAAGCAAGGCAACTCGGCAGTCTGTCTCAGCCTTCTTCTCACAGGAAAA